ACCCAGCAAATCAAGTAATCTATCTCAGATAGAACAGTCTGAATCATTAAATATTACATTGTTGGAAGAATCACACGGTAACTCTTCATTTAATATTTGGTCATATGAAAGTGGACATAAATCCGCTAGTGACCCGAACAATCGTGGAACTGATCCTGAACAAACTACTGCCTCTTCAGTTGATAACCAGATATGTCTGGATTTACGTTTAAATGATCAGATGGGTCAAATTGCGGAAATAAAACTAATGTCTCGATGTATTGATCATGGTCTGTTTTTAAAGAATTGTTTGAAAGGTCCCATCTTACGAAGTAACAGTTCATCACAAAATTTTGATAACACATTAACTGGTACAGTCAATAATGTAACGGACAATACTGCGGTGATGCTATCAAAAACTTTTAATAACTTTTTTCAACGCAATTTTCACAACGATGATGACCTTAAATTTTTACTCAAGCTTTGGTTACAGTTAAGTGTGCTGCTACCGTTTAGCAATTGGAAACAAACGCACTTAAGTTTGGTTATGAATAAGGAAACGATTGGCATAATAATCAAGCGCATATGCAGAAAACAGTCAATTTCGGTTTCAATATGGCATGTCCTTTTCAAGTGCTTAATTATAATATATGAAACATATAATGATACCCCGGATGAATTGTTGCAAGAATTGTTAATACACTTTTTCTCAGCTGTTAATTCTACTGACAAAAGTGAACATAAAATTGGGCAATCAGTTATCCTAACGGTTAATCAATTTTTAGTAGCTCTTGCTGGCAGAGACGCTGATTTAATCTGTTCTGAAGTAAAATACAAAAGAATTATGTTGAAGGTTCTTGTTAATCTTACCAATTCAGGGTAAAATTTTTATTTGCAGCCTTTATAGACATAATATTTAACTTAAAGATCTAATTTTAATTCAATATGCTTACAAACATCAAAAGTTAGAATGCTAAAAAGATGTGTTGTTATTTGATTTGTGATAATATAGAAATTCAACGACACCTAAAGGAATAATTTGCCAACAATCTGGTCCGCTGGATGCGCAAGTGATGTTTCTTAAATATATGATTAAAAATATGCCGACGAAAGCCAATGAGATCGATTTGGATGACATTATTCAACTTTATCGAAATACTAGCCTCTTGATATTATCTCATATAATCTCTGCAAAGTCAACATCAGATAATCACTCCGTTCTATTTGAACAAATCCTTCTGACGCTATTAGCTTACTGTACTAGACTCGCTCGCTTATCATTGGTTGACAATTTACAGGAAGATCAACATGAAGTAAAAAATCCAGCAACTGTGGCTAATATAGTACTAGATGAACCCGATATTATTACTGTATTTCTTCTAATTCTAAATCAAATTGATGATAAATATATTGGCATGAAAATATCTGGAGGTGTAGCCTTGAAATTAACTAAACACCATAGCCATCAAGATATGGTTGTATCTATTGCCGATTGGGTGCTAATGCTTATGTGTGCACTATTTAAAGGAGACGAACGAAAATTAGTAAAATCTATTATTGAAGTTTTCAATGGAAAATCTATAAATAACATATTTCTTAAACGCTCTATTACCAATTATTTGTCGGATGCTCTGTTTCTTTTTGTTCAATTAGTACTTGAACATGAAGCTAGTAGAACAAACTTTATGGAATCGGGTTTGTAGACAGATTTATTAATGAAAAGGTAATTGTTACTAAGATCGGTAATATTAATATTTATAAAAATCTTATTAGGTGGCGGAGAATTATTATGTCATAACTTTCTGGAATCAGCTAACGACTCTTACGGATTATCAGTGCAATTGCTTCCACCAGTGCCTAATTTATTATGTGATCCGCAAGTTAAATCCGCTTATGCAAAATATGTCTCCGGAAATTTAGTGAACTTTGCCCCTTTCTGTGAGCTATTTTAGTTGTTATAGTCGTTTAAGTAATTGATTAATATTACATTATATTATCATTTCAGGTAAGATTGTCTGTTCATCTTCGAGATCATCATCACCTAATATTTTATTGACGTCATCACTACGAAGTAGACGTCCTAGATCGGCATTATGGCGATTTCAATTCAATACAGGAGAAAGTTCATGCGATTTAATTCTTGAACTTCCTCATGTTATTCTGTTGTCGGAGCTGCACATTACACCTTATGTCTATTCCTTATTAAGTAAGATACATTCACTATATAAATTATTCATCGACAAGTGCTAAACTAATGATAAATTTTCAAACATGTGTTACTTAACAGTTAATATCTTATATGGTAGATTCTCCAAGCGCTGCAGCCATTGAAATTTCTGACAATAAAGCATTACTTTCTCCTGTCTCTTATCCCGTTCAATGCTGCGGATTAAAAGTCATTAAACTAAAACTACCCAAACCCGAAATTGCTCGAGTAAATATGTATATTGATATGGCATCTGACTTAATATTTAACAATTTATTATTGCATGTCCCCTGTTTTTAGTGTAAAGAATTTGCTGTTTTCTGTTTTGTAGTGCATCAGAATTCAATTACTGCGACCACGCGATTCAGATAATATAGGGTTAATGCAAATAGCTGTACTGGGAAGGATGCCGTTTCTTTCTGAAGATCAAACTGTTACGCCAAATAGAATTGATGAAGATTTTAAATCGAGGTATGATCTCTTCTGCTTTGCTATGAAATACTGGATATTTTTTGTCGTAAAATTATACTGGTACTGTTAATAAAGGCACAGCTTATAACAATAATATCTATTTATTTTATTTTTTTTCTGAATTATCTATTTAGTCTATATTGGTTAGGCTTGATCTACTCATGCTTAAATGATAAGTCCGATATAGTTAATAGCACTTTATGTCCTAAAATTGCAAGTATGCCATCATTTATTCATAAATGTGCACGCCTGTTAGGAGTTAACAGCCTTAGGTATGATTGATTGATTTTTTATTTTATTATTGCTATGGTTTGTATTACTAATACGTATTCTAATTTTATTTTATTTTGATTTAGTAATGACGATCATATAAAGATCGAACAGATATTACTAAGGGTTGCTTCGAGTTCACCCGATTGCGCTTTATCATTATTACGAATGCTACTTTACCAAAACAGAAATAGTCCATTGTTATCATACTACGCTGGTGCTTCTTCTGTTTACACTATTTACCAGTTAGGTATTTCTGATGTCCCTACTGGTCGAGAAAGGTATTTAGTGAATGTCTTTGATAAAAGATCCTTATGCTATTGAAATTAATCTCCTTATTCTGTTTCTGCAACTACAGATTAAAATTAATTGCCGGATGGTTAGAAAATATTAGTGGTAAAACACCGAGTATTCTTCTGCGTACCGTAGCAAGTATATTGTGGCAATTTAAGGAAACGGAATGCCGTCTTTGTGATGTCATTAATGTGGATTTAATTAAGTTAGTTTAATGTATTTTTGATAAGGAAACATTTCGATCTAATTTATATAAATACCATTTTAATTTTTTTGCTTTACTAGATCATTATGCAATACGGCTTTATCTTTAAATCGTGATAGAGAATCACAAAAAGCTATTGGCCTGCTAATATGTGCGATATGCCATGCTGAGAATTCTTTCACACCCGTAACAATTGAATATTTGCAGCTGTCATCTATTTTTGCTTTAAGATCCGAGAACGAAATTCATGGTCGTTTGTTACTTTCTTCTTTCATATGCCAATCCACATTTGTTGTTGAATTTATCTTACAGCAAGAAATCATATCAAAATTTGTAGTGTACGTGACGAAATTTTTCGAATTATTATCGCAAGGCCAGCCCAATTTAATGAATGAAGTTCGTCGGAAATGTTCTAGGCTTGTTACTATCATTGACTTTATTTCAGAGTTGTGCTTGCAGCCAAAAGCCCAGCAGTGGTTTGGGGATGAACCAGCTCTGTGTATGTGGAATTCTATTATTAAAGGCTTATGTACTCATCAGGATAAGCCATTATTGTGTCAACTGCCTAAACGTGACAGAATTGACATTGAAACAGCAACCATTTTACTGGTAAAACGGTTTACATCTCATAATTATCCGAATCAACAAAAGATTGTTGATATTATATATCGCCTTTTAGCCGTTAAAAATCACGATGATGGAAAATCTCTACAGTATCCTCGACAGTGTATCATTCCTAATTTTTTTAGGAAATTACTCGCTCAAGTCATACTGCGAGATGAGTGCATCAATCTACAAATCAGATATTTTAAACCTCTGGAAGAATTTTCATTTCAAAGTAGTTTATCTCATCCTCGATTTACAATCGATCGCAAGAAGTATCTTTTTGAAGCAAAATTATCTGATAGCATCCATACTTTGATCGGTCCACTTTTAAATGAAAAAAATAATGTTATCATGGATAAAAAATTAGAACAGGCTGTCCAAAAGCAGCTAAGTAAGACTAAAAATGCTGGTGATGTTGAAGGCTATGGTGTTAAGATGGTATCAATTCCAGCCAGTCAAAGATCATTAGATCAACTTGATAGTAATGACGATAATGATACCAGTGATGAAGAAGGATCATATGTAATATATTTCGGAGATTTTGCCTTTTTATTAAACTCGAAAGCGAAAAAATGCACAATTTCTCAAATTCTTCAGTATTTGATTGATAAAGAAGTGATCAATTTATCACAACCTATTATTGAGTTATACGTTTGTACCCACGATCTACCGAGACCGCCATCTCTACCAGGTACAGTATATTGTACAGTAGAAATAGTAATGGTAGGAAATATAATTTTTACTAAATTGTAGACGGTTGTTATTACATTAATATAAATTTATCATTAAAATTGTATAGCTATACAACAATTGGACTGGTCAACACTTGCTCCTCTTCCATCGTTTTTAAGTACTTTCATTAAGGCTGGCTGCGCGCAAATATTGGGCAATAGAATTATCCCATCAATCAACGTTAACAACATTTATAGCTACTTGACTCCAATTCTTAAAACACTCTCTACTAATATTATGGCTGCTATGCCGCCGCATTCTTTATTAAGTTTTGGAATGTTTCTGAATTTGAATGGATTTGCTGAAAAGTTATTAAGTAATGAGACAAGCGCCAGATGGTTGTTTAGGCTAACTTCTGGGGTGGAAATTAGTACTGAAGGAGGTATGTCATGCGTAGATGTAATAAATTTTGTATTTGCGTATTTCAGACAAATTGAACGAATAAATTTTGTACAAATAGAATTACTTAGTTATAATTTGGATATTTTGGGATTCTTTTTCATTGTAGGGAATATCTCTACGGTTGCTGGTAAACTGTCCCTACCACTGAAGCCATTCACAGCATTGGAATCTTTATTTCATGAAATACAGTTTTCTTGCAGCGAAGGGATAGATTTACGGACGGAAGCTATCGAACTTGGAATTATGCACTTACTCATTACATGTTTAAAGATATTTGGTCACCTTGAACCGTTTATATCAATAGATCAGAATTCGGTAGGGAAGCCGATTGCTAGTGCGATATACTTGTAACGTGCATTAAGCTTGTAGGCGCGGATATATTAAGGTGCTCTTTTATTAATAGGAGACTCAACAGCTGGAACATTCCGGTGTATCTTGCAGCGACGTGCTAGGAAATAATGACCCAATGTCTTCTCAAAGGGAAAAAAGCAGAGACCATGATTTATACTATATGGCAAAAGGGACAGGATTTGGAACAGGATCGATTGCGTCTAACTGGGATGTGGATCAACTGCTCATAGTTCAACAAATTGAAGAGTCTCATATTAACGCTATTTTGAATGTATGATTTTTAGAGTAGTTGTCTACAAATAAATATATTAAGCTTTCGTTTTTTTAATTTTTCATATTTGTTTATTATTAATAGGTGATCACATCCTTTCTGGAATATGACAAATCAACCTATTTATCGTTAGATACAAGAGTAAAAGATACGATATCCACAATTCTTAAGAAATTAGCTCTATTATTTAAAGAATCGAACTTTGTGGTTTTTATTAATAATTGTCTAAGGAATGACTCTGGTTAGCATTCTACTTTGCAATTCTCGAATACTTAATCAACCTAAAATTAAATTTTTAAAAATCTTTATGTTAGTTTTAGATATTGCACACCATATTCCGATGTATCAGTCTTTATTAAATGTCGTACGTAATATTGCAAAATGGCCGACGTTAATTCCGCTACTAGCTCCGGACGTCACCTCAAGCGAAGGCTCTGATGGCGTCGTAGATTTTATTAAAAATTTAAAAAGCTGCATCGAAATTTATTTGGGAAGATTAAGGTGCTATTAATGCCTATACAGGAACGAATACGTTTATCATTCATAAAATTGTTGTTATTTAATTCCTTTTTGCATTAATTATTAGGCCAAGTAAGAAAGGTACTTTTAAAAATGGCGATAAAATGATAGATGAAGGTAAGTTAACACCGGATTATGTGATGGCAACAAAGCTCTTCGAATATTGAATCGACAATATAATACTGAATGGGATGGTGAGACCTTATTCAGTAATTTTATTGTAAACATTTATTTCAGGATTGCAGAAAGAAAACAAAGAAGATCAGGACAGAAAAAACATTGCTTCCTTGATTCCGAATATTTTAACTACTTTAGAGATAGTCGAAAATGGTATTGCTTCTTATAGAAATGTGAATGAAGATATGCCAACGTTGGTTAACACGAATGCTGATATTAATGAAGAGCAACATGATGGTGATAGTGATCAAAATTATGTGGCAAAGATGAGATCGTTGCAGTTTGGTAGGCTATTCATAGATGATTGTTAACTAATTTAATTCAGTGTTCGAACTTGACGAATATTTGATGGATCGGCTTCGTTGTTGATTTAATAATATACTATTTTTTCTTGCTACATTTTAAGATACTTACTGTATCACAACTGAAACGGATGAAAATGAAACGATATTTAACGTTCGCTATCACTATGCATCAGCCGTGCGTTCAGCAATAGCTAATGGTAGCGATTCTGGCAGTTCGGAGAGGGCTAGAAGGCTAGCTCAGGAAGCTGCGGCTTTGTCGAATTCCTTACCATTATCTGCCAGTTCTAGTGTGTTTGTCAGATGTGATGAAGAACGGCTAGACATAATGAAGGTAGGTCGGTACTATCTTACTTAGTTTGCAGCCAAACTAGTAATATATTAATATACTATACATGTAGGTTATAGTTACGGGTCCTAGTGGAACACCATACGCAAACGGTTGCTTTGAATTTGATACCTACTTTCCGCCAGAATACCCAAATGTTCCTATGCAAATAACATTAATAACTACTGGTAATCATACCGTAAGATTCAATCCTAACCTTTACAACGAAGGCAAGGTAATTTTAATGCTCTGTACTGTAATACCATTTAATGTTGTCCATGGATGATTTTACATTGATATTCTAAAGCTAATTAGCTGATTAATGGAAATAACTTTAAACCCTAATAGGTATGCCTGAGCATACTGAATACATGGGTTGGTAGACCAGAAGAAAAATGGAGCCCTCAGACCTCGAATTTTTTACAGGTTAACTTTTAAAGCCGTAATTAATTATTGGCTGTTGCATCAACATTGAGTTTATTTCGATTTTGTATAGGTCCTAGTTTCGATTCAGTCGTTGATTCTGGTATCTGAACCTTATTTTAATGAGCCTGGATATGAAAGGTCATATAATACCCCTCATGGTCAGCAAGCGTCGTTAGAATATAGCGCAAATATTAGACAAGCGACAGTTCGTTGGGCAATGTTGGAACAATTGCGTAATCCACCGTCAGGCTTTGAAGATGTAGGTACCAGTTTGTATTCGCTGTTTATTTTGTGAGTGCTGATAACTGCTAAAAACTTACTTTAGGTAATACAAAGTCATTTTGCAATGAAACGAAGTGAGATTTTAAAACAATGTCAAAACTGGAGAGAAGAGTATGAAGATATCGTAAAAAATCACAGCAAAAAAGCAAGTAAAGCGTTCGTGAATAGTCTGGAACTTCTAAAAAAGCACATTAATAAGTTACAGGAAGAATTGAAGAAATTATAATTATTCATTTAATAAATTAGAATGGTATTGCTTTGCAGTATTGCGAGCGTGATATATAATCGTTTACTCATTGTACAGCGTTACGTATATTCCTTCATATCTACAAATAGTACTATCTAATCTGCAGCAGAATGTTCAGCATGCATAGTATTAAGAGATTTGCCACATCATCTAAATAAAATGTTATCCTTTGCTTTGCTTACCAAGTCTATTCTGACTTATGGGTTAGTTAAATATGATATCTTATCATTATTTTTGTTATATCCTATCGTAAGTCAATACCTGTATGCTATGAACATTATTATTAATGATGATCTAGCGCATATGTTCCAATTACAATTTTAAATGCAAAATATATATATAAGTGCTACATACGTATAAAAAAGCTCAAAAATTAATCAATGAATCAGTTAAATTGTTTTTACGATTTTAATATGACATCAACTAATACATGTATACTTTCAATAGAAGTGTACGAAGTAGCAAGAATAATGTTCATACTGCAACTGTTTATGTAGCAGTTGTCGATTTTTGTTAATTAATCACAATGTAGTAAATGAATTTTGCATCTACTGTTGTGAAAATGGGGATACGAAGAGATTGGGTTATGATGAATCTTTCACTTTTTTTAAAGAAAATTGAAAGAAGTATTAAAATTATATGTTTGATTTAAAAAGCGAACAATAAACCGTATAGTAATAAGAAGTTTTAATTGATGAAATATGGATGTCAAACACTGCGTAATAGCATAATATTGGATTAGTATTAAGTAACAAATTCTGGTAAATTAATTACTGTACTCCTAAAATATCAATAGGTCACTTGATAGCTGAAACACATTTTACTGTAAGTATACTAAATTGAGGAGCATTTTTGTAAACGAAGAAATCTTAGTTCATTTGGTGTCGGAAATCAAACTTTGCTTAAAGATGGTATGGTATGGCATTTTTTGATGCCTAGCTAATTTTAACCCTACTACTATATATCGTATGTAATATACGAGTATAGATTCCTATATTTACTGCATACTTAGATCAATATTTCTTCGCGCTTTTCGAATATATATTTACCGCTTCATTAAGTATATCCTTGATCGATTATTACTTAAAATTGGTAGAAGGTGCATTCGCTTTTAATCAGATATAAATATTTACACAAATGATAGCTACGAACTGAGGAATATTTACTTATCGTTTTTAATTCATTTCTCGTAAATACGCGTATATAACTAACTACTCAGATTTGTAATTTTTCATTTATCAATAAATATTACAGCTGCTATACAATCTGATTCCTTGCCTAATCAGGTATAGTAGTCATGATGAACTATTCTTAAGACTATCAAGGGGCGTTATATCAATAAATTAATATGCTGTCCATATCGTCACGTCATGAGAATCTATGTGCAAGATGAAATCAATCATTTACAACTTTCGAACATTTCTATACAGTATACTCTATTGATAAATTACGTTACTTTTTATAGGTAGGAAAATCTGAAATAGGTTTATCAATAGTATAATTAAAATTCTATTGATAGTAAATTTACTCCAAATGAAGAAACACTACAGCTATCATGCAATTTGATTTTCTCAGCCATGTTAAAATATGAGTACACAATTTGATATTAAAATACCGTACGAAAACAGCAGTGATAATGAAACATATTTATTAGGTTATACGTATGCCGCTTGTATACTACTGTACAAGTGTACATACGATATCACGGCAGAACAGGCTAAACACCAACGTTATCGAGGCTTTACATATAATAGTGTGTTGTTAATATATTAATTAATGTCATTGCAGTCTATGATTTAAAATTGATCGATTAAAGATCACAAAACCGAGATAATTTAGTGAATGCTTAGGGCTACTGTGTTGGCTTTACAAATAATAATGATAATATAATAATTAGTTGATAGAAGCGAATGTCAAACTCAACTACTGAATAACTTTAATATTATATAATATGTTACGCCAATATTGTCAATTTATAGTAGTACCGCTCTTACAGTATATTAATAAGCTGAGCTAATACTGTATTCGTCTACATTACTGTGTATCGTTTTAAGACAAGACCTATGCATTAACCTCAACAAGCATGATCGAATTTGTTATAGAAGCAGCTATTTAGTTAAGGCACGAAATACAGCGTATTTTATAAGCTATGGCGGTCATTAAGGCAAATAGATCAGTTTTAATACATGCTCGACGTGCATTTATGATTGTATGATGAATAGCATAAGAGCAACGAATCTAGTCAATTTAAGACTGTGCCTACTGTACTGTATGTATATGGATTGGAGGAAGGTTAAAATGATAATTACATAATTGATATTATTATTACGTAGATTCCTAAGTGTATATATACTGCGTATAACAACATACAGTCGTGTAAATTTATGAATAGTATCAAGAAGGTAAGATAGTGATCGATAAAGTCATGAATTAGCGAATTAATATGATTAATGATGCATCTTCATTTATTCTCTTGGAGTAGGTGATATAAAAGCTATGCAGTTTCGGTATTTATGGCAAAGCGTTTGCAAGGTCACACTGAAGATACATTCTTATATACAAGCACGAGTCCACATTTCATGGAAGCAAGACGAAATCCTATCCAAAGGCTGACGGAACATTTCACATTTTATCTAATTCACTGTCGACTTCGCTGATTTTACTTTGCAATATTCTTTTCTTAGCTCGTAGGTACTTCCTGCGAACTGAACCGATCTCGTAGCCGCAAACCATTCCTCCAACAAAGACCAACGTCAAAACTACAGTAAATGTAGTTTTACTCATGGATAGACTGTCACCACTCATCTTTACAATCAACAAGCTCTGGTCCTAGGTAGGCAAAGAGAGATTTAAGTTAGTCAATCCTGTAAATATCTCAACGACGGATGAAATATGGTCTACTTATTGAATTGATCATACAACATTGAAAGTATTCCCTAAACTAATATATATGATTCGTATTGCATTATCAGCTACAAAAAAAAGGGAGGCAATCTTCTTGAAAATGCTAGAGTGATAAAAAAGACTTTACCAAGGATATTTAGATGAATTAAAATGGAGAGATAGAATCAAGGAGTTCGATTAATAGCAGGTTTTAATTTTCCTGTCGTTATGGACTGATCAAGTTAGCTTATAATATTCCTCCACCCTTGATGGACTATTTTAATTGGCTCGAGGGAAAGACTTCTGTTGGTGCCGCTCCTATAGAATTTACTATAGCCAAATCGCTGTATTATAACAAAGAAAGTACCGGGATTGATCCCGTTATAGGGAATCGACGATGCCAGTCTCTCAAGAGTGATTTATATATTAGGTGATATCATGTTTGGGATATATGATAGTCCTGTTATCATCAAACTTTTGGTCACGAGGAGCCTTCAGACCATGTGATAGGCTGCCCTCAAGGTTCTTGTATGCTTTTTGGTACTGTACGCGATCGCCTTGAATACTAACTATAATTAGTATAGCGTTGGGCGTGATCTACCGCAACTTGTACCGTAGAACTTGATCGATGATGAGGTGATTTGGCTTTGGCCATGCACAACGAGATTTAAACCAACTGCAGCAGCGGCTTGCAAGCTGAGTAATAAAGTGTTGAAAGTGCAAAAGCTAGGAAGAAAATTGGACTGGAAGGATAGAAAAAGACTCACAAGTTGTTAAACAGCTACTACCAGTTTACAAAGGACATCCAATTTTGAACGATATACAGTATATCTGACGGCTTAACCGATCACAAGGCAACGACGAGTTATCGCGCTGCAGAATTCCTGATCGAAAATGGTAAGTCATGGAGAGGACGTATTGCTATAAACTGAAAATTGAAAATGCTTTGCCTCTTTAATGCATATTTTCCACCTTTTTCAACCATCATGAATCGTTGTTAACCTATAAATAGAGACTGTATCTCACTTTGGGATCAAAATACTTGCTGTTACTTACATCTTGAAAACTAATATGGAGAAGATAGTATTCTAATTGGCATAGCAACTGCACACATAGTCAGTCACTATTCGCATAATAGACCGTTGTACAGTATATCAAATTGCCGGAAATGCTCATGAAGAATTGCCCGTCTAATTCACGATAATAATTATCGTGAATGATCAATTTACGAGCTTATACCTAATTCACTTACAACACTACTATACAGTACAGCGTATTGATATGATGTCTATCATACGTGAAGTTCTTATATTGTTACGCTATATAAATCCAATGAAAGTAGCTCAGTTATCCGTCAGACTTGGAACGTTATAGAACTCCTCAGGTTCTACATTGAATTCCTTGCTAGTACGTATGGATCAGTCTAGCAGATTCAGTAGACATGAATAGTGAACAAATGAGTGTAAATGAAGTCTATACCTGTAGATTACACTTGTACGATTCTATAGACAGTATCATGTATTATGGCACATGCCAAGCAAGGAGCTATGTTCAGGATTGCAGTTACTAATCAGTAGGAAATGAGACATTTTAGTTATATCTTTTAGCTCTTTGTAATGAATGGAGCCTATGGAAAGGATAGAGAGAAATAAGCTTCTGTTTGATATCGAAATTTTTTATTCACTAATAACAGGGAAAGGCCAAAAGAACTAGAAAATTTGCAGAAGTTAAGCGCCTAATCAATCCTAAAGACCCAAGAATGTAACTATTTCATTAACTATGAATATTTACTTTTGCCATCACTTACTGCCTAAATGAAATATTCAAAGTACCGTTTTAAATAGAGAATCTATGGATTTACTTTTTACATTGGAAATTTACTTTCATGTGTAGGAGATACAAATGTGATTTATGTTAAAATGAAAATTACTGCTGTATATTGAGTTAATTGCAACGAAATTTTGTCAGGAGATTGTCATACCTGATACCTACGTTCTTGTGATTTACACACTACAATATCGACCGGATAGCCTCCTTTGTAAATACTTTATGTCAAAATGTTACAAAACGGACTAAATGAGTACCAACAAATTAATATACAGTAGGTCTTTACATCATGCTATGCGTTAATACGCATGATTTTATATTATTTAAGAAGGATATTCCATAAATTTTAATTCATGGAGCCTTTACATAAATAATATTACGACGATTAAAATACACGCTATTTTATAAACGGTTTATAATGTATGCTATATCTAACCTAGTTTGATGTGGTATTCTTGCAGCAAAGACAACAAACCCAGTAAAAAGAAAGACAATAAATCTGAAGACCAAGTTCGAAGACTGTAAGTCTTTAGTTCTTTATCGCTTTGTTAAATATTGATTTTATTACCATATATATTCAATAAGATAAGCTGCATGATGATCTAAATTGGAATGCTGCTCTTCCATGCGCAATGTATGCTAGATATTTTTAACTAACACAGTACTTGGTTATTTATTCAATTTGTAGCCAGCCAATCTTCTCTTCCCTCTATTTTCGCTACAATACTCAACTAGGGCCGCCTTATCATATCATTGTAGATACAAACTTTATTAACTTTTCCATAAAAAATAAGCTCGACATTATGCAGTCTATGATGGGCTGCTTATATGCTAAGTGTAAGCAGATTTATAACTTGTTTTCTTTCGATTTTAGCCATTTATTGCATTTCTAAGTGATGTTAATATGCTAAAATTTGATCACATGCATTTTTGGGCTAAAGTGGCAAGTTCTGATTGAATGATGTAGGTACTCCTTGTATAACTGACTGTGTTATGGGAGAATTGGAAAAATTAGGACCCAAGTATAGGGTTGCCCTAAGGTAGATTTTTAAACATCAATCGATGGTACTTTGGTTAACAATAGTATTGCTTGTATAGTAATTGTGAATATTTTTGCAGAATTGCGAAAGATCCACGATTCGAGCGTTTACCTTGTATGCACAAGGGTACTTACGCTGACGATTGTATTGTCGAAAGAGTCAGCAGTGTAAATAGCAACTTCTAATTTCTTTCTTTTAATGCTGCATACTATACAATATGTTGCTGAACATGAAAACTGATTATTTTTTCCTTCTTTATACAGCAAAAGTGTTACATTGTAGCTACCTGCGATAGAGATTTAAAAAGGCGAATCAGAAAAATACCTGGAGTCCCGATCATGTATATTTCTCAGCATAAGTAAGTAATATCAGAATATAGTGCATTGAAGTATTAAGTGAAACTAACACGTTTCATGATACCGATCGTTATATCTTAGGTATACAATAGAGCAAATGCCAGATGCGTTTGGAGGTAAAAGCAATGAAACTTTATCTATTTACTGTTATGCTTATTGATTTTATTTAGCGATTGTTTGTAATCGGCGTTATTTACACGATATAGCAACAAATCCTTTACGATAACATGGTAATCGATTGTATTTCTTCTTGTTTTTAGCACCTAGGATTTAACTGGGCTATTCTCTGTAATTATTTCAGCGAGTTATGGTGATTTCATCCAGTAGTATCCTGTAGTGTTATGATACTGTAAGCGTTACTACAGACTATCTTATTAATGTGAATGAAGGCACCTTCAAATACAAGCTGTCAACAAGCGATTACATTATAATATTATATCTAGTAATGATATTTATTCAATGGTCCTTCCTAGTATAATTATATAATAGAACTAAATCAGATTCACTGTAGTTTCTGCTGTAAATAACTTGTAAAATGATGTTCATCACAATAAATTAGATTGCTTTTATTTGATCAATGAATAATTACAGAACCTATAGCCTTGATTATGTCGTATGATTACGCTAGTGATGTCAAGTCATCCCATTATCAGATAAACAAAAATGTCTTAGCTACAGTATCACCTACTATCCGCCTGCTTGTACTATCGTGAGATACTGTCAAGCAAGTTCAACTATAATGTACGTATATTTTACTCGCATACGCGTATGCCGATCTTAAACAAACAGAGAGTAATGAAAATCGGAATGCAGGGTAAAAGGCTTACATAACATGGTGTACACATGATCAGTTATGTTATATTGTAACTGGCAAGGTACTACGACATGGACTACTAAGACTTAGTAGTCCATGGTACTGTGTACTGTGTTTTTAACAATTCAATTTAATGAAGTTGGGTATTTTTCTCTTACCCTTTAAAATATCGCTTGCAGGATAGTACTATTAATAACGATTGAATCTAAAATAAATAGTATAATCTGATACATTAAATGAGAGGGCAATCTACTAATCATCATTAAGCATTTTCCATTTTGATACAAGCTAGAATTTACTGTAACATTTTGTCGGCTAGTACATTGCAGTGTACAGAACTAACATTTTTCATAGTATCAGGATTTTACCTGATACTAATCGATACTATCTTGACAATACCAAGAAAAATCTAACAGTTGATACCTCTATAGGACACAACAATACATTAACTATTTAGGTATTTATTATACGCAATGCTAATCAAAATGGCCAATAATGTGCTAATTGTTCTATCTAATTCTATGAAAAACATTTGCTTTATAGTCTCTAGAAGGCGATGACTTGGATACCTCTTAATTATTTCGCTTTATTGGTAAAGCGAATTCGAATCGAGCAGTATCAACAAATTATGATAACTGTACTTAATGTGTCGTACGTAATAGGAGATTACAGCTCAGTTTAAGTATTGCACAGGTGCACCGTGTACATCTATCCATCTTGTATCCTAACTTGTATCAGTTGTATGAATGAAAGTATAGCAATTGCCACCACCGTCGTGATTGATAGATATTTTCAATCTCGATTGATCCATCAGATCTCTTCAATAGTTTTTCATTGCAATGATAGCCATAAACAACTCAATACTTTAGTAAACTACTCACAGTACTTAGCCCATAAATGCACAGTCAATTAGTCATGCTTGACAGTCTCTTGATCTAATTAGCATCCACAGAGTGAAGCTCAATTAGTGAAATTAGATTGCAGAGTGCATATATACGAGTGTATTGAATGATAACATCGTTCTGTTTCATTACAGCCTTTGATCTAAGCACGATGAATCCAAAAGCGGATAACGTGTACAATTACATTCCATGCTTCTGCACCACAGTAAAGCAGTGCATCGATGGTCACATTACACTGATGGATTGCTCAATTACAATAAGAACAATGATGATCATTTAGCAATCCATGGTACAGTACTGTAGTATGTAATACCGTCGAATGGAGATTAGAAAAAATAGAGCAATATGCTATATCTAAAAAGCAAGGCAAGCTGCTGCGAAGCTACTCCAGCGCCATCTGGTAGCTCAGGCGCGACTACTGATGCAAATTTAACATAAGCACAGAAATCACTTACTACAAAGTATAGCTGTTATTGCGTACGGGTACGACGGCTGCATAAACTGGTAGTGGATCTTTGGTAACCAAAGTCAGACACCGCGAACTACATCAGATCTGCCTGAAACAACAACTACAAGCGATCATGACTCAACGCTAGGCGTCTACGTAAAACTACCGCATCCAAACTACCGAAATTTATGATCGCCGAAAAGAATATATATTAAAAATTTTTTAAATGCCTTTAATTATGGTTCAGAGTAACCATTACAGTGTACAGTACAGTACTGTATCGGACAGTTTTGAATTTTTTAGCTACAGTACTCAGTACTGTATGTACTGTACAGTACAGTAAAAACAGACGGGGGACTACGAAAAAAAGGTACAGTCATGGATAGACGGATTACCTTACACGGAAGTGTAAAATGGAATACGAGAAAAAAGGAAAAAATAGCTCGCAGTCAGTTCTAGTTACAGTATTTATTTCTAAGAAAGGTAGAAATTAAAATAGTTCATGGACTATACTGCGTTCTGCTTGATCAACGTCTTCATAGTTTGATCGATACTATTTTCGTCCAAGAATTCGAAATGGTTATATTTGCCAGTTATGACGTTGTAGCACCCTCATGATTCAGCAATTTACCCTAGTGTTTGTTCCTTTCATGAAATTGTCAACTTAATTCATTGAGGATAATGATACATCGTGTTTATTCATTGATAACAATGCTTGTGTCGCACTTTTATATTCACTCTAAAAGATTGTTGTATATTGATGTAATCTAATCGAAGAACGGCATCCATGTTCAAAAAAAAAACACGGATATTATAGAGTATCATTGGATTCTTGAAGCTACTATCTGCTGTTTCATGTCTAATTTACATCAATATTTAATTTTTTTTACCAATTTCAAGTAGAAAATTTCTCGAATTGAAAAGGGCTGGTACCTTATATACTGTACTGTACATTTGTACAGTAGTAGAGTTCGATTGGAATCTCGGGATTCGATAAAAAGTACTTTGGCATATACTCTATACTGTGTTATCTACTTTACATTACACTACTAATGACTTTCTGTATAGAATACGTGAATAACTAAGCTCAGTGAGCATGTTGCATCTCCAAGTACTTGGCAATTCGACGTTGGCACTTGTTAGTTCTGTTGGAACACTAAATCATGCCATACATTTATATCCTCTCCCTTCTCTCTCCGAGAGTCTTTCTCGTCTATCTCTCACTACATCTTGTGTGTTAACTCCTTGCTGGACTAGAGGAAATGTTACGCACTATACGGTACGACACGGTCAATTCAAATTTTAGTGGGTTAGTAAAGATAGTGGTGTCGAGAAATTATTATGTAAAAATGTTCCGTGTATTCGTTGACAGAAGATACACAATTAACAGTAAACAATAGCTCCACTACCGGATCATCAATTACCCTATAGTAGTCATTCTGTTACTATAATAAATTATACAGTATTATATCATGTACACTTTAACGCTAACCCATCATCACTAACTGTGATTCAATTAATTATAAATTCACCGTGGGTACAGTATTTACTTTGCTCTATTTTAATTCTAATTAGTCATGTTTATTTATTTATTTATTCATTTTTGTATTTATTTTATTGTGTTGCCTCATCATGCGTTACTGTAGCATTATTTAGAAGTCATTATCACCAGTATCTTAACAAGGAGAGTCGTCAGCAGTAAATAGTACGAGGAGCATACGGTTATATTGTAACCGCAAATAAAACTATCAAAGTTTTTCCTTCAAGTACCGCCGCTTCGCTGCCGATATTTTCTGAATTCCCTGCAACTAAAAAAAATATGACGCTCATCATACGTCTATAAACGGAAGTTGCGGTCGTAATTTTGCTGTATGTACTGTTACACCAATTCATGATAACAGTACCAAAAGAGCAAGTGAATCACTCATGTAATGCAGTACTTGCTTTAAAGGTACATCAGCGGCTATTTTTAGTGATGTACATATAACTTGATCATCATAAGAATTAACCAAGTTTACACTATTTCGATCTCATGTTTTTAATTTGGAGAAAAATTCAGCAGCGCGTTTTCCATACTAAATTGCACATACAGTATTCTAGACATTTTACGCAAGTACAGTTGTCCTACGCTACAGTACAACTACTGCAGAGTACAGTGTTGACACTGTTACGACATTTACTGTGCTGTACAGTGTACAGTACTTAAGCTGGCCACCGTATTTGGCATTACCGTAAAGAGTGCCAGTGAAAATGCGTTTTGACGGTATCAGACTATAGTATTATGCACAATTTTAGACTACTGCACATGTACTGTAGTGTACAATGTACAGTAGAGTACTGTACTTTTAGTAGTCCATGATACGGTACCCTGTACAATACCACTGTAAAGGAGGATGTGTGAAGCGCATGAAAAGTGACTCCAAGTGCTCTGGTCAGTGGATAGTACGATCGACCCGACAGCTAGCTGAGAAAATTGAAAATTTCCAACGTTTCTTCTTCCAGTGAATCAAAATGTCTAACAAACCAAGAAAATCCATTCCTGCTTCTGAACAAACTGTTGAGGATGGCGCAACTTTATTAGATCCTGCCTGGGAAAGGCAGCAACGCAAGGTAAGTTATACGATGGTCATGCTTGGATAGAATAGCAAGTTTTTGTGTCCTCACAGTCGCCAGATAGCTACCGTGTCTTTGTTATGCTGAAGCCGTGAGAAAGAGATTTATTGCTTTTTCTTGCTTTCTACTTTGGACTCCTAATGACTGAATGTCTTTCGACATTGAACTGTTGATATCGATAAAATGATGGCATAAAAAAGTCCATCGTTATAAGATAAAGTAGATGACGTAGTCATATTGTTCTTTCAAGTCGATATAATTGCTCAAAAAGTATTACATTTCAGTATTTATTGGGTAGAAAACACTCCATAGTCTACAACTTGTAAATAGTCCAGTGTATGCTATTGTCGAGAATGATTGTGATGGCATAATAATCTTAATTATTTGAAAAGTGAATTCATAGCTTAAGCCGATAGCTTTTCCAATACTAACCACGGTACAAGCCCGTTTTGATCGATTTTCCTCCAAAATACATGCTAGCAAGAGATGATGACTACTGCTATACAGTATACAGTAGTGTACGCGCATTCCCTAATCCCCCGACTGTATACGTGCATTTTTACTTGCTTTGATTGAGCCGATGAAATAACCAATCGATATAATTGTGCTTGAAGCTGAAGAGTAGTTGGAAAGCATAGTCTTCAAATGATTACTGGAGAAAATGCCGTTGAAGGCGCTACGCATCTGTGTAAAATGTACTAAGCTGTATATGTTACGAGTTACGGCTTAGGGTTATACACCGTTCCAAATGCAAATGGGAGTACATTATCTTGTCTCGAACTGGACCATTTGAAAATGGGATCGTGATCGTACGATGCTGTATTATCGCTGTAGTGCAGAGTATTACACTGTAATTTCAATTCACTCCATTTTTTATACTAAGTTGATATTTGAAATAGCAACCGTGCTTCCATGCATGATACATAATAGAATCTCCAATCATCATTCTTATGCTACTGAATGATTCGCATAGTAAGATGGCACTGGTTTACTACATAATGATACCCTAGTGTTAAATATTTGCATGTATGTATTCATTTTATTGAAATTGTGGAATTAGGTCATTAAATTGAAACTTGTAAGTACATTTTTCGCAGCTGGAGCAATCGATTGTAAGTACACGTACAGCAGTACCAGAAATGTTGACAGAATTGGGTATACTTAGACTTAACATTGCTTGTAAAGGCAACAGATTGTGTAATGTCTGCACAACTAAAATGAGAATGATGAAATTCGCACTTTTCAGTCACGTCTCATTACTAGCCTATCATAAAACATAAGAGACGCGTGATTTTACCTTGATGATGAACGATAACATCAGAGCTATTTACTGTTAATCTGATACTACACTTACCAATCGTTGCGATTGAATATATTGTCCATGTATGATTCGGTCACTATATTTTATCAAGTTTTCATATTTGTAAACTATACGATATATTAATTTATACAAAATTTTCAAGCATCAACGCCTAATGTGCAGCTATACAGAAATACCTTAACTCAAGTAGTAAATTGAATCAGCTTAATTTTCTATTAAATCTGTTATGATGATACTGTGTATTACATTGCATTGATGTGCAATTTCTGCCTGGGATAATACAATTCAAAACGTAGTGCACAATTTTCCTTAATTCATCAGCAATTCCGAACTTTTTTTATTCGCATAAAATGTTATTTTTCACTAACTACACGCCCTCCATTACAGGAAGCCTAGTTGATACACGTAAAGTATTTACTAAGCCAAGTGAGTCCACAATAATAATATTCAAAACTTATAAATTTCTTTATTAATTTCTAGACCTTCACAGCTTGGTGTAACTCGCATCTCCGTAAAGTTGATATCACTATCAATGAGATTGAACAGGATTTACGAGATGGCTTGGCGCTAATTAAATTGTTGGAAGTGATTGCAAGCGAGAAATTGCCTAAACCAGAAAAAGGCAAAATGCGTTTTCACAAAATTGCTAATGTAAACAAAGCGCTAAATTTTGTTATAAGCAAAGGAGTAAAATTGGTATCCATTGGTGCTGAAGGTCAGTTTATATTAATTTAATAACTTAAATTGCTGTTGCAACAATAGTATGCGCGTATATTATGATTATAGAAATGGTAGAATCCGGAATATTATCATACAATTCGAAATCTTAGGTTACTACTTATGAAAACTCTTAGATTCCCTAAAAATACTATTTAGTGATTAAACTGTACCGTATGCGTGTTTTTATGCAGAAAGTATCGAAAAATCGCTTTTTATAGTAGTAGATATCAAACTTTGATAGATGCTATGTGCATTAATAGACGCTTCAGGGGAACAGTTTCCATCCTAGTAATAAGTAGGCACTATATCATCATAACTGCTCGCTTTTCCATTACAGTACTGAATTACACGTAGTGACAGTGTGACACTAGGTGCTTAGCTGAAATACCAGGTTTCAATATTCATACTGTAGGGATAAACTCTTAGTAAAAGATCTTGTATTCCGTCATTATATACTTTTGAGGTTTATTTTTTAAAGTTGGATGTCGATAAGCATTATCTGAACTATATTACTTTACAAAGACATTTGAAGCACTTCCTGCTATATATACGCTTCTGCAACACTAACCTAGATTATTTTGATGGTTCACTTGATTAATCATCATGATTAGTTCCTTTATTATACTCGTAAAATTTTATCAAGTTGAGAGATGTACTGTACACTCAACTTTCATAGCAACAACATTAAAGGAGATATTAACGCATTATATAAAATTAAAACAGAAACTTACAAAAAACTACTATCGATAGATGACGATAATTTGAATGCCTTGGATAATGCTAATATTAAACTTATTAGCTTGTCTTATTGTTTAGAAATTGTGGATGGCAATCGAAAAATGACCTTAGGCATGATTTGGACAATCATTTTACGTTTCGCTATCATGGACATTGCTGTTGAACGTTAGTAACTGTTTAAATTTTTAACTGATAGTTCAAATATTGTTTACTACAGCACCAACTTATGACTAACATAGTGTACCAGATGCACTTCAGGTGCAAGAATATTATTCAATCTCGTCTACTGAATAGAAGTGCTCTATTGATACATTTATAGAGAGTATTTCTTGATTTTGTTTATAGAAACCTCAGCTAAAGAAGGGTTACTATTATGGTGCCAAAAGAAAACCCAGCCCTACAGGAATGTTAACATTCGCGATTTCCATGCTAGGTATGTAACTTACGGTTATGAATATACCTAATAGCAATTGTATCCTTCCTTATAACGTTTGACTTCTTATAAAATGATATCAATTTTTATATGAAACGTAATCATTTGCATATGTCTTCTTTTGTGATTTATCTGCATTTTCGGTCAAGTTGGCAGAACGGTCTAGGATTTTGTGCTCTTATACATAGACACAGACCCGAATTACTCGATTATCATTCACTTGATCCTGTAAGTAGGCGTACACATATTATGTAATTATTTTATTATTTTTTTACCCTATCGTAGTATAATTAATTTCTATTTGTACATACATCTGTACCTCCATGTATGTACGTACTGTCTATGAGTATTTATGTACAGTATACAATACATAGATAAATCAACCTTACAAGATACCTCTGCATCATTGCATTCGTATCGGATTTTATAGAATATTATGTATTACTACTCATTTATTTACTAGTCGACCATCGTGTACTTACTCATTTACTATTGTACTATTATTAACTTATTAATTGAAACTATTAATTACCTTAATGCTTTGGACGTACAAGTCTTTATGATCAATTTCTCACGACAGTAATGAAATAATCGCATGATATTACACGACCTACTTTGCCGCGTGTATTTATAACAACGGTACTCAATGTGCTACACTAAATAAGAAAGCTGACAAAGTCTTAAAATCTAGCTAAATTAATACGGAATAAAAGTATGAATCTTAGTTTCCTCCTTTTACTAGGAAAATGCAATTGAAAATTTAAACTTGGCTTTTGATGTTGCTGATAAAGCTCTTGACATTCCTCCGATGTTAGACGCTGAAGGTAATGTTTTGCACAATCCTCTGTCAATAAAGAAAGTATGCCTACTGTAACCCATCAATAGTTTTTATTCATTATTATTAATTAGTGCCATTATTATATCGTTTACAAATTACAATTATAATACTTGCTTTATTATCTCGTACACAAACTTGCAAAGTTAATATAACTAATACAATCATTATAGTATGTCTTTAGCAGATTGATCTGTTGTAATGTACCCTTGAATATCATAAAGCTAGGGAAACACTGGAAAACGACATGATAAAATATTGTGCATTATGAAACTTTTTGCGATTACAGCTGTAGTGGGTTGACGGCATGTTTCATCAAGCACATCATTTTACCCTCAGTTCGTATAGATGTAAAATACTTAGACTGTACAATACTACTATTTCATAATATCGAATGTTTCGCTATATCAATAGCATTATTCGTGTTATATATTATTCCCACCCGTTCGTCCGCACGATTAAAACGCGAGTTTGATGGTGCATTTGAATTGTAGATGTAATATTGCAGTGAGTCATTTTGAGAAATTTTATTAGTCTCCCAAAACATACTCAGGAGACTAATGGAACTAAAATTTAAAATAAAGTATGCAGCGTTAAGTATCACTAGTGGAGCTTCTACTAGTTTCTGTAACGAAGGATGTAATACAGTATTAATTATTTTAATTCTGCAGACAATATTATGCTAAATAGTTGATATGCTTGTACATCGTGCATAGCAATGATTTCAATTGTACATAATTTTTGCATAGTAATTAGGATTATAACAGATGATTAAAAACAATGGTTTAAGAATCCAATGTAAAATGATTAATCTTTTTTCACTTATACAGATATATCAACGAAACCTGATGAACGGGCTGTTATGACTTACGTATCGTCATATTATCACGCCTTTGCCAGCTCTAGCAAGGTTAATAATGATACTTTACAGTTAATTATATTCTCAGTTTTCGAGTTACTAATAGCCATGTTATCGCTGTGTTATCTCATTGGCTTTCATATACTCTATAGGCTGAAATGGCATCTAAACGTATTGGCAATGTATTAGATGTTACGATGAAGAATGAACAAATGATGGAAGAATATGAATTTCTTTCTTCCGATGTAAAAGCAGTATAGCTAAAAAGATTCATCTAGATAGTATCATATCTAATTATTGTCGGTCCAGAAGAAAATTAGTAAAGGGGTTATCCCCTTGATACTATTTTTAATTGCAAAGGATACCGGGCAAAGATTTTTTAATGCCCCTCCAAACCGAATATCTATTTAAATTACTAAATTAGACGCGTATTTCCTGGCCATTCCTTAAAAGAGTGACTGGAAACATACATAATTATATAATCAATACTTGATTACAAATGAACTTTAACACTATCATGGCGAAGCTAACTTTTAACAAACTCTTATCGTAGTTGCTTGAATGGATAGCTGAAAAGATACCATGGTTATCAAGTAGACCAGAAGATGATAGCATCGAATCGGTTCAAGTAAGATTTTAGTTTTATAACTCAAATAATCTAAAATCTTTACCATTGGGCTTCAATGAATCTAACAATGTCATTAATAACGTAATCAGCAAGCACTAGAAGAATTTCGCACGTATCGATCAAGCGAGAAACCGCCAAAGGCCTCCGATAAGACGCGTCTCGGTATAATATTCAGTGCTCTGCAGACCAGACTTCGCATTGCTAACAGACCTGCATATGCTCCAGGAGATGGAAAAGTCATCACGGTACTGTAGTTTCATTTTACGGTTACCATGATTAATTGTGTATAGTTAAGTTAGCGCCGATAATTCATACATACATTCTAATAGGATATCAACGATGCCTGGGAAAATTTAGAGCGCGTTGAACGAGAATTTGAAGAATGGATCTACCCTGAATTTAGAAGGTCAGCAATATTATACTCGACTATTTACTAGAAGATATCCTTATCGGATTCACTTTAATTTAGATTGAAACGCTTGAGCTACCTCCTACAAAGATTTGAAAGAAAAAGCTCAAACTTAGAAAACTGGATAGAAGGGACGAAACCCTTCGTAGAGTATGGTGCCATTGATAGTTTAAAACTGGCTGAAGTATCGGTAGGACTAAATATCAACAAAGTTGCTGGATAGAATTATTTGTGTTATTTTGAAAGTCAAATCGGTATCTTTAGATAAACATAATATCTTCACAAATCTACTAAGTGTATATAGGATACGTAATTCTACTAGCAGCCTCTGTTACAGTTTAAATGCTTGCTATTTTAATAATGAAGCGTAGTATTATAATTAATAGCTTTATGTGAGTTACAACTGTGTGTTACTTCAGTGTAATATCGTAAATACTTTATGACTACGGGGTATGGGTAGTAACCGTTAGAATTGCAAACATATTGTAGGCATAATTCACGATTTTATCTAATACTTTCTGGTTTTACTTGCTGTAGGCCTTGAAAAAGAAATTCGATGCCTTCATGTTGGATTTTAATGCCCATATTGATTCATTGGCTGTTATTGAAGGAATTGTTGAAGAAATAAAGTACTATCAATTTATAAAAGCTATTTTACTGCTTTGTTTCGTTCCATTTTAATCGATGTTAAACCGATAAAAATCATTGTTTGCTTATTAGCGTCATTTTTCTTGTAATATATAGTAATTTGGGATTTACTGAATCTGAAAGAGTTAATGACAGATTTTCGGTATAGTTCTTCATTAACTAACGTGGCATTTATATTTCTAAAAGTAACCAATATGTAATAAATGCGTTTACTATAGAATCTACAGCAAGAATGGCAGTACTTAGGCGATACCGCGAACAACTTTGGTGCAGAGATTGAGGTTCAATTTGCGACAGACATTCCTATTGATAATAGATGCATCTACGGCATTATGATAAATTTATGACTTTTGATGTTCTGTTTGCTCGCTATATTGATTTTATGTCTAATTATAGAATTGCCTTCAACGGCAACAAAGAGTCGATGAACTCAAACTTGAATTTACCAAATTGGCCGCGGTATTTTTTAAAAGTTAATCACTGATTTTATTAAAGGCATTTAGAGTCACTAATTCTCTATTGCCTCCTATTTTATAATTTTATTAGCCTGTCAACAAATGGTTAGATGGTGCTATAGAAGATCTAGAAGATATTTATGATGTAAACTCTTTAAAGGAACTCGAGGTGATAACTGGATAATGAGATTACCTAAAATGAAGACAAGATTCGTCTGCTTTCATAACAGTTTTTCGCTCATGTACGATTATAGGAATTAGAGGCTAGCTATAATGAACTAAACGAAGAATTTGCAAAGACGGAACCAGATAGAAATAGGATTACGGAAATATGTGAGAACCTAAAAGATTTTGGAGCAGCAGACAATGAGTATACTACCATAAGTGCTGAGGTAAGATAAACAACCATTGATGCTAGTTCTTTTATATGCGTAGTATCATTAGAACATCTTATTTGAATTGCAGGATATTGACCGAAAATGGGATGAAATTTCTGATTTGCTTCCACAAAAATCTGAATTACTGGCAGAATTTCGTAATAAGCAAATGTGTATCTTTAACATCGGATAATTTTATACCTAATAAAACAATAAATTGATACAACGATAATATCTAACATTGAAGGCCAATACTATGTACGAAAATTATTAGCAATGCCTTAACGTTAATCTAACAGCTGATGAAGAACTACGCAAAGCTTTCGCTGAAAAAGCAAATGAAATTGGCCCATGGATCGAAGAAAAAAACCAATACGTGGGTTATTATGTTCGTTCAATGGAAGGCACATTGGAAGTAAGACAATTATACTCTATTTTACGCCATAGTTATATATTATAATTCCAACAATTCATCTACGATGTTATCACTAGATTAAACTATTGATGTTTATATTATTAGGATCAGCTGGATAATTTACTTGGAATGGAACAAGAAATTAAAGCTTTTGGCCATAATATTAATGAAATCTTCGATATTAGTAAGGTAACTGCTTAGTATGTGAATCTATCGATCTATGTCGACTGTTTGTAAAAGCACATGAGTAATATAGCCATTTTGCTATGGAATTAAAATTTTTATAGAAAATACACGATGCCATGATTTTTGAGAATCCTTATTCGAAATATACCATCGAGGTAATATATAATCATTATAAATTATCACATTATAAATACAAGCAATAACAACAAATTTTGATTACAGTCTATTCGCTCAATGTGGGATGAATTAATAAACAGCGTTCATAGCAGTATCCAAGTAGTCGATAATGAGGTAAAACGATCTTGATTTCGGTATTACACACTTAAAATGGAAATTTTAACCTAAATTTAACTTTTTGCGAGTTAGAAATTAGCGCGAGACTCAAAGGGAATTACGAATGAACAATTGCAAGAATTTAAACAAGCCTTCAATCATTTTGATAAGGTTAGAGAATAAAATGCAACTAAAGTTTCAAAATGAGGTTTTAAGACAAAAATTTTATTCTTCTAGGATAAATCAGGCGTCTTGGAAATTAAGGAATTCAGACAATGCTTAGTTAGTGTTGGTCTTATCCCCGATATTGAGGTTTGCACAAGCAATTACCCTAACGATTGATTGCGTTGTTCTAAAATTTTAATTTTATGTTATTATACAGACGAATGATGAAGAATTCGAGCATGTTTTATCAGTCGTAGATCCTGATGGATCTGGCACTATCACTATCCAGGAATATATCGATTACATGATACAGGAAATCTCGGAACAAGATACTGCCGACCAAATAGTCGAGTCTTTCCGAACGCTAGCTAATGATAAGGTTAGCTTCTATCAATTATGAATGTCTAAATAATGTGCTTGTCAGTTTGCAATATAAATAGCTAGTAGATGGTATGCTACTGCTATCTGGTATACCCCGTATTTAGATTGTTTCGTTTTATCTGTTGAGATAAATTGTATATAAGTGTACTTAAAGAAACGTATCTGTTTTCTCATTCCAATTCCTAAACAATTACCAGCCATATATTACTGAAGAAGAACTCAGGCACGAACTCGCTCCAGATTATGCCGAATTCTGTATTAAGCGCATGATGCAATATGATCAACCTGGAGCTCCTGCTGATGCTTTGGATTACACATCTTTTTCATCAGCCCTTTATGGAGAAAGTGATTTATAATCAATGATTAAGGGTAATCGAAATACGAAATTAGCCGCCACTAAATTTTACTGTTTGGGTAACATGAATAATTTTCAATGGCTATCGTTGACTAGTAATTAGTTAATTATTACTTGTTAATCCTGCGTTTATGAATTAGATCACTGTTATTTGACAATACGAGTATTCTGGTTGTTATTCGAAAAGTTACGTATGGATAGATTTAGCTCGTAGACTGGTCTAGAGTTGATATTGAGGTATTTGTTACGCATCTGAATTTCGTGATTGCACTTTTCTGTTATACTAATTTTATGTGCCACTTGTTCAATTTGCCTTAGTAATAGTAATTGAAAGATTTTAATTTCGTGAGTGAATTGATTATTCTGAATTCTTGACTCTGCAACACTAATTAATAAAATTGAAACTTTATTATAGAGTTGTTGCTTAACTTAGCTTACAAATAGTTAAAGGCTTTTTGCACGACCCCTTTGATTGCGTTAAATTTCAGTAAATACAAATATCAACAGTAACTTCAATACTCGTATGTATACTATACATAGAACGAATGCCTTTCGTATACGTCAAATTTATGCTCGAAGTAGGTTATATACTTATTTTCTACCATAACACGCAAGTAGAAGATAGGGCTAATAGTTTGCCCGCTAGACATTATGTAACAGGACGAATAATTGTGCGACCCTATTCCGATAAGTACTTTTATTAATACTATATGAGATATTTTAATCATAATAGCTATGATTAAAAACCAAAGATTGCTTGAACTTATCCATAAGTTAACTTTGGCGAATCATTTACCTCAAGTTATAGCTATTCTACTTTACATCAACAAGAATTGTAATTTAGTTCTCACAATCCAGAGATTATGGTTATTGCTGTCTGATTTAATTTATGGATTTAGGCTTAAATATACTGTAAATCGTAAGGATTTAACTAGGGTACGTATTGTGGAATGAAAATTATACATGGACATATTACTATACGTAAATTGAAAGTTTACCATTAATTTTAAGATTATACCAGATCAGAATCTAAGTTAGCGATTATTGGAATTAGCGTAAATAGCACAAAGGTAATTATTGGCCAGCATTAGCCAATTAAAGAACAAGGTTTACTCCACTTGAAGCACCCATTATTCAGTTATTAAACGACAAAAGTACGGAGTTCATGCTAAAATGTAGCAATATATACTCATATAACTCCATGCATTATGAATTTAAAAGGACTAGAGTGATGTAAATAATGGTAGGTTAGACAATAATTAAATATTCTCAAATATGTTTTGCCAATTGAGAACTGTATTTAAACCGTTTGTAGTATTAACTACATATTGTGATATGCAATTCTTTACAGTACAGATTTTAACAGGATATTCTGGTAATCCAAATAAAATAATGAACTAGCTAGTAATGGTTCACTCATCCGAAATTTGTTTTATTAATAGAGAAGTACATCATTATTATATGGTAAACGAAATTTAGTTTTAAATAAGTAATAGCTTATAGGAATAATATTTCAATAAGAACAAAGTTAAGATACAAACTCAAAAATTAGTAGACAGAGGTATTGAAATAATGACTATGATGCATCGATTCAGAATTAACTTTTTTATATCATTTAATCAAAATAAACGAATACTGATATCTATGTACAAATATGCAAATATAATATAGTTAATGTTGTCCAGTAATGATGATTTAACGGCTATTGCGATGTTTATAATACATCTTTTTTTAAATATTGATATCGCTAATATTTTATTATCCAAGTCGATTATCTATTTAATTTTAATTAAGTTATCCAGTAGGCTTTTGCCACTATGTGAGGCTAGAAGAGATATTGCTTTATCATTTGACGTTTTAATGGCAACATCGTAAGCTGTTTCACCAGCACCATTTTTGGGTTTGATATCGACTCCACACCTTAAAGTGAAATTATATGACTTTTTAATAAATCAATTATATTGGAAACTTATGATAAATACTATATGACGTATATTGCACTAAAAGCAACCATTTTAAAGTAATTCTGCATTATTAATCATTTATTAACACTGTTATCTTCGAAAAATATAAATATAATCGAAATAATCCTTTTAAAATAAGGATCGTAATCCTATACTATATAGATCTCGTAATTTAATTCTACATAGTATTTTAAGAAATAATGTCGCCACCTTGAGTTTTGCACGGTAGTGTCATAAATTTTGCACCGCAGCTACAGCGCGAACTTTTCTCTACCGTATCAATTTCTCCTGTACAGGGGCGACATTATTTTTTTAAATACTGCAGGTTGTTTATCGCCCGTTATAGCAATATTCTGAAAGACTAATTAGGGCACTCTGTTAAGGGTATATTTTAATATTTAATTTAACATTTTATACTGATTTATCATCTGTAAGTGAAAGATTTTACATTTAAAATTAAGGCACCCCTACATAACACTTCTCTTGCAATTTTTTGTTAACAATATCTAGTTTAGTAAATATTAACTTGACTTACTCCAGTAAAATTTCAACAGCCTTAATACCATTTGGTCCAAGTTGTACTGCTTCGTGTAGAATAGTATTTCCCTTACTAAATTAATAAGAGACATACGACTAAATGAGACTATTTATAGCGTTTAGTTACCGTAATGCGCAAGATTTTTAATCTAGTTCTTGTTGTTGATTTATACATAAAAATTATCCTACAAATTATATTTCAATTCCAACTACGAATAAAATTAGTACTAGTACCACATAATACTTATACTTGCGATTGAGCGATAATTTTATATTTAATTCTACAACTATAAGATCTTGCAAGAAACATCAATACAATTAATTTACCATGAAACTTTAGCATTAACATCAGCGCCTTCTTGAATCAATACTGGTATGCAATCGTAGTGACGACTTTGTATTGCAACTGCTAAAACTGGGATTTGATCGTTATTTTTACAGTTTGGATCAGCACCCTTTAAGAAAAGATTTAAATTAAGATTCTATTAAATTATTATTCTTACTAAATGATGTCATATAAAGCTGATGGTATTATTTATCAAGAAGTGACAAATTGTACTTTAAGGTATAAATACAGTCACAATGTAGAGTTGTCTTACTAACCTCTTCAATTAAATTTTGAACTTCTTCTATTCTTCCTTCTCCTTCTGGACCAACTTCTTTGAAAAGGATTCTATTTTCAACCTGAAATGATAGAAGGTATCATTATCAATACGCCATAGTAAAGCTTAATTGGGGTGCATAGAAATTAATGTAGTTAGTGGACAATAACATATCGGCTATTATTAAATGAAATTTAATTAGAATATATGCGTATTGATGAAGTTAAAGGAATAACAACATATGTGATGTTATCGAAATAAAATTTAATTAAGATTTATGGATATTGACATAGTTAAAGTATAACAACACGCCATACAGTATAGGATCTTACAAAGATAATATTTAATTAGGATACGTATTGGTATCCACTGATATAGTCAGTGGATAATAAATAACTTACGGGGATAGTATGAGAACATAGGTGAAATTTTAGTTATAATACTTGAGCACTGATATAAATAACGGATAAGAGAAATTCGTAATATCTATAGAAATCATACTGTATTTTGTAATAGTATTAGTTATATTATGGAATCACATGCAAATTTATAAATGGAATCAAATATTCGGAATAAAAATGTGAAGGCTAATAATATTGAACAAATAATGATACATTCGTATAATACGTTAAGCGCTATAAACTGGAAATGTCGATAAGCTACATTAAATTATAAGTTTGAGCATTACAAGTGGAAAGTGTTTATACAATATGCTATAATCCTTGTCTAGTATAACATTCTTACACTTAAGACTTCTTTCTTGTTAAAGGAAAATCCTTTAGCTTTCGTTGGTTTTTTCTTTTCTTTATTTTTGCTAGGAGCTAGTCAAGGAATAGTAAAGTAAATCGTACAATTGATGTTTTAGTATACAATTTAATATGCTTACAATAGGAATTATAATATTTTGAATGCAATTTATAAAATTAGTTTAATTGACTGACGGCTAAGAAAATAAACGTACAGGATGATTTTTCTTTAGCTTCGGTTTCGGTAACGGAGCTTAATCCTTTCTCTATTTTGCTGATTTTGGCTTTCTGTAATATCAAAACAATATTTGAATGTTATTTTGACGCTACAAATTTGAATACGAAAAAGATCACAAGTAACAGTATATAATTCAAGAGATTTGTTTTATAAGAGAAAATAAATTTCACTTGTTTTACAGTAACTTGTATCTTACTGTTTTTTAATTAATCAAGCAGTCTCTGAAATATAGAGAATAAAATAACATTCAGCGCAATATCATACCAAAAACTTACCTTATCCTGCTTTACTTCATATGTTATTGATATGGTCATATCATCTATATCTTCATGAACAGTAGCAGCAAGCAACTATAGTCATAGAACAGGTATAATAGATAAGAAAGAATTTAGTCAACCAGCAGTAATGGCTAGTGTACTCTGTACAGTATATAGTTTTAGCTTCATTATCAAATCAGTTGAACGTGTTAATTGTGATTTAGATGCTGGAGTATAAGTATTAATATAAACGGCAAATAGTTTCAATTGATTAATCAATTTCCAGTACAGACCTTGCCTAACTTTGGCTCGCCAATAATTTTTCGAAACTCGTTGTTATTTTGTACGTGAACACGGAAATGTCCACAAATATGATCCATTTGTTTCCTCCAAAATCCTAATGCATCAATATAGAAAATACTATAAATACCAATAAATCCTATCTTTACATAGTAGAAAGCTATTAATTTTACTGGCATATTGTTATACAGATAATCAATACACGTAGATTATTCTACTTATACTCAAACATCCTATAATAAATAAGTTAAAAGGGAGCATAGAATAGATGTAACTTTACCTTTGCCTGGGCTAACACCAGATAAAAGAGATTTCTTTTCCTTTATTCCACCATCTTCTTTGCCATTCTGAATATTGGACTGATTAGAAATGGATTTATTGGAAGGATAAAATAATCCTTGAGTCTGTGTGTGAATCGATCTCGTTTCTGCTGGTAACGGTGGAATGGTTACCGTCATCCACTGGTTATCATTTTTTGTCTGGCGGTCAGTTTGCTATAAAAATTGGAAATTAAAATGAGAGAGGATTGCTTTCTAATCTCAGTAAGTCTCTATTACAATTGGTGTTTTACTAGGTTCAATCGAAAAGAATCTGCATGATTATACCATTAAAAACTTGTTTGTAATCACGTAATGAGATCGTTAACAATTATATTTATTATCGATATATTTTCGATATATATTCGATATTTTATCAATATCTTCATATATAAATGCAACAAATCTCGATTATATGATAATCTAACCTGTAACGCTTTAGTAACTTTAGATGGCAAATTTGAATTTCTCGAATCTAAGCGTTCTGGTGGTCCTAGTAAGCAGCCACATGAATTGCAAAATTTCGCATATGGATGGCAACTTGCGTGGCATTTGGAACAGGTTATGTAAGAGGAGGTCTGCTTAGGCTATAATTAGAATAGTAATAGTCTCTAAACTACTGGTTCTAATTCAGAAACTAGCAGTGACATGAAATATAATTATAACAAGCTAAAATAGATATTGGCTAACCTTAGCACCACACCAATCACAGAAACGCGCATCACTATTATTAATACGTGAACAATGTGAACACTGCAACAAACAACCTTCTTTGGTCGGTAGAGGTGGAGCAGAAGTAGATGTATTTAACGACTATAAATAATGAAATAACCCATATGATTTTAACTACTGATATTATTTTAATATTACAAATTTTTTAGCTGCATCGCGTTATAATACCTTCGTCGCTTTGGTCAACCTTGCTTCACAAGTGACACATATATCTAGTCCAACTGGATTTACTGTACCACAACTACTGCAGACCTGTTGTGTCTAGAAGGACAGAATTTGCTTATATTACTTATTTGAAGCCAAATTTTAATTATATTTATGGTATTACTATCTATACAGTGCGGCATCTTTGACAAATATCATAAGAAAACCTACCTTGCCCGTAACATGGGCTGGTGGCTGTTTCTGTTGTGGTATAGCAGCCTCGCATACAATACATTTCTGTGCATGCATTGGAACCAAAGATTTGCAGTGGACGCACATACTAACCTATAATCAAACATAACAAATCAAATATTATGCTGAATAGAGAAAAGAATATTATCATTATTTTCCAGCCGATATTTGAGCTAATATTCCCAAATAAAATCGATATCTCCGTAACTGCTTTTGTTTATACGTTAAATACCTGGCCTTCGTCTGCTGGCGGTAACCTAGTGGTAGGTAGAGGGGGTATGGCAGCACCACATTCGTTGCAGAATCTTGCGAATGGATCAGATGGCCGTGGTGCCGAGCAGTACATACAGCTTTTGAATCATCTTTACGTTAGTATATACGGCACAGTGATATACAATTTATTAGAATTGAAAATAACTCACTGTAAATAACTCGCTTGCTTTAATAGCTTCGTAGCTTGTGTTGCCGTTTCAGCATGTTGACGGGGAGTTGTCTTAGTAGACAAGATAGCAATTATTTGAGTAAATTAATTAATGCTGCATTAGGTTTAATTGGACTGTAAATTATACATATTGAACATGAGTTACAAGTACTTAGACCTCTATACATCTACAAATACATGATTGCCATAGTTTGCTTCTATAATTAGTTGTAACTATTATTATACCGAGGACTGCCTTAAATTGGTATCTTCATAGCTTCCATCTAAGGTATTACTACCCAGTCTGTTAGGATATGAAAAGATTGAAGCAAGTATCTAAGTATTGATGTAATTATCCTGTAATTCATTCAGTACATACCTATTATTTAGATATTTAGGTCCAGTATAAAATGATTCGTTATTAGATTGATTTAAATTAAGATCTATTAATACGATAACAGGGTATAAGTAATTTGGCAGAGTAGAAATGACGTCATTCAATATGAGCAATTACGAAAGCATATTTTGCGTAGATATTACTTCAGAAATAATTAGATACTTTAGATATAGATTACTGATTTGTGTACTGTAGTTTTTCTCCTAATGAATAAGCCCACAATTATATGAAGTAATAGTTGTCATTAGTTCGCTTCCAATATAATATGCGCGAATACAGTAGTAATGCATTAAACAGAAATAAAAAATACTATGAAAGGTCTGCACTAATGATTGTCCTAGGATATTGCCATGTGTAATCCAATTTTATTACCTCGTGTTTTTCCTATCAGTTCATTCTCAGACTTTGCAGTTGAGCTTAACATTTTACCAATTAGAGACTTTGATAACTATTTGCATATTGTAAGGTAAAATATCATTAAAAATTACAAATATAAACTGATATTGCTTAATAATAGAAACACATAATTTCCAAATTAAGATAAAGATAAATTTAAAACCTTTGGTCCTCCTAATTTGCTTCTTTCTGTAGCTTCATCTTGAGAGCTTGCTTGTTCTACGTTAAAGGTTTTAGTGACAACATTGCTTTGCCGAGTGCCATCACTAACGATATTTATGAGAGGGTAAATAAAACAGATTTAAATCATTTATAACAAATTCTATTAACACAATAATTTATTTCATAATATTCTAGAGCCATATGTGGAAATTTAAAAATACCTTGATACTGCGACAGCTTTAATTGATCTTTTACCAGCCGGCAGTTGAAAAGGCTTTTTATAAATGTAGGTATTGTTAGTTCCAATTTTTCGAAAAGGATCAGGTTTATTCCCATCAATTGTGTAAAAGATTTGAATATCTGCTCTAGCTATTATAACAATGTCAATTAATTCATCAAAATCTTTGCTATATAACTATGTTTGCATAAATGAAATAGATTGAATACAATATTTACTCGTTGCGATTTCTATTAAAGTTGCAGTAGTGATAAAGTTTTTTTGTGCTCCTGGCTTTCGTAAAGGAACAATTGTAGGAACTTGAATCGATCCTGCTGCCATAGTATCCTTTAAAAGAAATGGTAAAGTTAAGGGTTGCACTAAAGTATTTGCATGTAAAACTGTATTGCTGATTTCGACAATGTATTACTATATCTATGGTGAATAAGAGGATGCCAGACACTTCAAATACACTTATGAAAGCTAGAACGATCTAGGCATCTCATAGCTGACTTGGTAGCTATGATCATATTACTTAGTTGTATTATCATATGCTTTACAAGCAACACGATGAGGATATATTGACGAAAGTATAAATACTAATAAGTGTTTGCATCTTAGCAACGCTATCAAAAATGATTCGTTGCAATTGTTTAATTACCAAAATACATGTCTAAACTGAAGTGGTAAAAATAAAATTAGAAATTTTATTGCTTCTATATTACTGTGCTGCCTTGTGAACTTATAAGTACCGTCTATTTTCAATTCGTTACTTTCATTACCGTCATATAATGTGATAGCTCTATCATCTATCTATCATTTTACATATCTTTACGAAATTTGAATGAAGCAATAGAGAGTAGGAAACGAAAGCGATATGATGTACGTACATACATATACATATGCTAGCTATTTCTTTTTACGTAATGCCAAGGAATATTACAGGTCCTATAGAAACATCTAACTTGAACTCAGCTGATAGAGTAGCGTGCAGAAAGTGCATTTCTCGTATGTCCATAAAGTTTATTCACTGTTAGTTCAAGAGATTGTGTTAACAGGAAAGACACCGCAATATTATTGCAACGTATTTCGTTAGATTTAAAAAATCACGAACTAAAGGGCGTAGCTCGATATTCATCATTCAATCTGCTTTCCATTCTATATTCACAACTACTACTGAAACTAGTGTATATTCGTTTTTAATACAAAGTACCGTGTACACGTTTATGCTATTCCGTACCATGCCATGGAATGCCTGCTGAACGAGTATATGTACCCACTATTTACAGTATATCATTATGAGTGAATGATAAAACTTTATTCATTGTGATGGATAAATTGGAAGATAGAAATGTGATATGCGAATATTGATTAATTATAAATATTAACTCTTTGTAGCCAATGTTATGATTGCAGAACTCGGTACTCAACATAGTTGTTGCTATCATGCAGGTAGATTACATATCGATCAGTCACTAGGGTTATTACCTGGTTTGGTTTCTTTCTTGTTATGGAAGTTTTTTTGATCGTACTTTACTTTAAAATATTTTGTATGCGTAGAATTCAAGAAGTTGCATGATCCTTGTCCGCAGGTTAACTTGTAGATAATTCAAATTCTTATGACAGTTTAATAATATTACTATGAGAATTCAATGAAGCGTATGAAAAATGTTTGGCGTATCATAGCAACTGGAATGACTGCTCTCTAGTGTCTGTTCCAGTGTGATGTACGGTACTGTACACTGTAGGGTACAGTACAGTACAGTAAGATGATACTGTACTGTACTGTACTATACTGTACACTGTACGATCTACACTACTGTACAGTACTGTAGATCATTCATAAATGGGGATATAACGGTCAGTGATACTTTCATCATTTATGGACTTAAGAGCAAGTTTAACTTTCTAACTTTACCAGATTCAGATATTTCAGAATCTCTCCATCAACCTCATATATCATTCTATTATAGCTTTACTGTATTTTTAAAGAAAAATATGGGCCGAAAGTGACAAAATGTTATGAAACAGCCTGTAGATCGACAGTATTAGACTTTTCGTATGGTTTCTTTAGTAAAACTGATGGCTTACGCCTAGACCGCTTTCAAATACTGCTTACGGTAACAAGCGATCCTATTGTATGCAGTACTCCTACTAACTATACACCAAATTGAGAACATTTCAATATTTCCTGTACTTTCTGAGCTAATTCTATACTAATTTGAACATGGAATTTGTAGACCATTTCGAAATAACTGAGAATATTATGCAGCATTTTCATTTTTACAGTCATTTACAGTGAATTTCACTGTACTCTAATGTACTGTACACTGTGTACAGTCGAGTACAGTACAGTACTATATACTGTGGTCCACAATCTCACGTACTGTGTTTACAGTACTATACACTGTACGGTACTGTACACTGTACGGTACTGTACACTGTACAGTGTACAGTGTGTACGACAGGGTCGTATCGTACGACGGACATTTCGCAATTTTTGACCAACTACGTCATACAGTACAATACTTCTATATAGGCCTATCCGAGCTACTAGGGGATTCAGGTAGTAACTGCTATGTTCATGGTACTGTAACTGGATATCATTGACGAGTTAAATTACTGTATAAAACATAGCATCAAGTTCCATACAAACCCGCTATAGGTCCTCAATTTGTCGTTGACCGACTACTACAACTGTTGAATAACTTCGTCATCGCTTTGACGTCCAATTTACTGCCAATTAAGTTGATTGCATTCCCTATCCTTGGCCATATCGCCTTTTGTTTTATGGAAACTAACCAGGAACCAAGAGAAACAACAAGTTTAATGGCGTCTAGGATGGATACAAGCCGTCGTTCAACTTATACCGATTCAGAAAGCGTAAGCTATAAAGTAGATGGATATTTTCGAATCGATAGGGTCAGAGTGGATTGATCTTTTCTGTTTGCAAGTCCACAACTAAAATGATGTGGTAAAATAGCCAATGATGAACTGATTCAATGGTTGTGTCAAGCAAGACTTTATGCAACTTATCTAGGCTTACGTGGAACTGAGTCAAGTTTTTATCCTTCCTTTTGATATCGTTTCTCCTACGTTAAGGAATATGAATTGATTTTTCCAACCTTGTTTATATACTGTACAGTACAGTCATGGACTAGTGTGATTGGATACTGTATAGTATCTGCAGTACTACTCCATGATACAGTATACCAGTAGAGATGATGCACTTCTAATCTACTTCACTGTATGAAATGATCCTCTAGGAGAGTAAAAGAGGCTCAATTTTGATGCGCTTTCGTATCATTCTAATATTTTGCACTTAGTAAACGAGTAGAGTCTTCAAAATTTCAAACAGAAGTAGCCATAGTGCTTCCATCTTGAACTAGATGCTGATGCCCGTACATTTCCTTAACTGTAATATTGTGTCACGGCATAATAGGTAAAGTTCAACAAAGTTGTTCAAGTCAATAAATCAATTTTGACGCGCTATTGCTGCCTATGATAATAGTTTAGATTCGATAGACGGGTATTATCTTATAATTTTAAAAAGAAATAGTGTATAGCGCTTCGATTTCTAGTTGTAAAATCATAGAAATTCATGAGCTATAGCAATAATGAGACAGTACTGTATAGAAACGGTAATGACATCATTTTATACACTCGTAAATACACGGGTATAGTCTTACAACAGAAATAGTACGATATCGCTTCTATTTTTAGCTTTTAGACGGTTAAAATTTGGGCTGTAAATACAAGCAAGATACGATTCCATTGGCATTAAATAGTACTATAGTAGATTGATCAAGTTCAGCAATTTTATGATGTTTCAATGCGGTAATGTCTTTTTAATTTACTCTCAAGGATGACGATGAGGCAAGGAACCGTAATTACAATCGAATGCCAACTGCTAGAAGAGATGAACAACAAGAAAATTCAAGTAGTCAGCAAGACGAAGATGATAGCCAATTAGTATTGAAATATGGTGCTGAACATGCTTTACAAATAATTAAACCTGTCACGATTTGCTTGAT